TGCCCTGGCCCGAGGCTGCTCCTCCCCGCCCGCGGGAGACGAGCTCCTTACCTGCCCTCCGCCCACCCGCCGGCCCTTCGCCAACTTCTCTCTGCCACTGGGGGTAGCAGGCACTTCTGGGCCCCTCTACTGTCCCAACGGCACACGCATGTCTCCGGACACCTGAGCGCCCGGGTCCCGCCGAGGAGCCTCCCCGCGGGGAGAGGAGCGCCAGTCCCCTTGACCCCGCACATCAGCGCGGACCGCGGACGCCTCTCCTCCCGGGCCGGTCCCCTCCTTTTCCTCCGGGGGAGGAGGATGGGGTTGGAAACGCTGCCCCCGAGGATGCGCTGGTGGCTGGTGGCCGTGGGGATTATTTGCTACGGGGAACGGTGGGTCTGCGCTGGCCTCGATTATGATTACACTTTGGAGGGCAACGAAGAGGAGAAAGCGGAGGTGATCGATTACAAGGACCCGTGTAAAGCCGGTAAGTGCCTCCCCAGGTGGGGACGTGGCGCGCGGGGGACCGCGGCGCTCCATGGTCCGCGGGTGGCGGTGGGAGCCTCTCACCTGTTTCCTTCCCTCCCCTGCCAGCGAGGCCCTCCGCCGCCCCTCCTTCTCTTCCCCTCCTGTCCTTGCCCCCCACCCCGCAAGCGGCAGCCAACGCGGCCCGAGGTGCCTGGAGTTGTGCGCTAGCGGCATCCGATGCCAAGCTCCAGGCTCCCCGTTTGGGAAAAGCGTCCTGGAGTGGATTCCCCTCCCCTCCCCCAGCAAAACGAAACGAGGCATAAACACAGCTGGCTGCCCTGGGTTTTAAATACCAACACTCCGCCGGCTCTGTGCCTGGCGGGCACAACACCTCCCCTTTGTTCCCCCAACTGTGGGTGGGGATGGAATGGCTACCTCGGGACCCGTTCGCTCCCTCCTGGCCAGGGATTTCCAGTGTGGGCTCCAGGCGCGAAAGGGCTTGTGACGCCCTCGGAAGCTCTCACGCTAGATGGAATTCCAATGCATTTGCCCATTAAAAGCAAAAAAAAAAAAGCAAAGTTGCCACCCCATTCAAACTTGTGTCTTCCTTCCTGCGTACACCCCCGGGAGGGAACTG